CATTCATTATTTTTATTGGAGGATGGTCAAATTTTTGGATGTGGTTATGGTCAACGTTCTATTAATGATGATAAGCAAGATGCAAAAGTGCCGACAAAAATACCCATTGAAAATGTGCAAAGTGTGGCATGTACGAATAATCTTGATCTTTCATTGGCTTTGGATCAATCATCACATTATTATGTATGGGGTATGACAAGAAATCTTAAATTTTTACCGCCCATAAAATTGGATAATCGACCGAGATCATTCAGTTCAGCATCATTAGCGATATCATCTTCAGCAATTACTTTTGGTCTAACACCATTCGTATTCGAATATGATGATCCTATATTAAAATTATTCAATAATCCAGATAATTATGATGTCGAGTTTATTGTCGATAATAGAAGTATATTGGCTTGTAAATGTCATCTAAAAAAGGAATCAGAATATTATAGTCGAATGTTTTCGGGTGATTGGAAAGATGCTAATAAGGTGATTATTCGTAATTATAGCTATAAAGCTTATAGCTTATATTTACGTATGTTACATGAAGAGTTCTACGGATTCCATATCTATCAATCCAATATAGCTGAACTTATTGATTTGGCACATTGTTATAATGATGAACGATTAATGAAACATTGTCGAGAATTCATACAAAAGGAACTGACTCAGCGGACATTATTCACTTATCTTCCTTTGATCGACAAATATGAACTTGATGAGATGCATGACAAACTTGTCAAGCTAACTATCGAAGATATTCTACCAAAAATTACTAAAAATATTCAAAAAAACAAAAAAAATATTACAAAATTTTTATTATGGTTTTCTGAACAAAAATCATTTCTCAAAAAAGAATTCGAAATTGAATTTGATTAAAATAAATTATCGTTAAAATGATTTTTAAAAAAAAATTAACCCTCTTAATGTTATAACCTTTATTATTTGATCAATGTTATCTTGAAATGAAATAAAATTTAAAAAAAAATCCATTATCATTCAATTATCAACCAAAAAAAACCAAGTATAACCAAAAGCAAAACAAAAATAAATTTTTTTTTTTTGATGTACAGTATAGTTGAGTGAAAAATGTAATAATCAATCAATTAATTTTGAGTAGTATGATAAGTATCGATCAAATATAATCCTTGGGTTCTTGAAAGAAGATATCGTTCCAATCTATTTTTTTTGTATGTTTGTTGAGTGTTTGTTATTGCACACACAATGTCATTTGATAATTTGTGATCGTCTATTTTTTCTTAAATTTGGTTAAGAACAAAACCAAATTTTTTTTTTTGGAGAAAAATAATGAAAAAATTACCAACTGATTCTTGTGTGGATATTGAATTATTTCAAGATGATTTAAAAGATATCGAACGGAAATTTTTTCGAAATATTGAATCGATTTTTAAAATAACAACATTTGGTGATGAAATTGATTATCTTTGTATGACCAAAGATGCTACCTATGCTTATGGTGATTATATATGTGAATGT